ACAAACACACACACACACACACACACACACACAGTCTTGCGCATACGTCGTCGTCCTCATCACGATGTGTAACAACGGCCTTCATCTTTCTTTGTCTGGCCCGGTAATAAACGAGGCTTGCTCGTAATTGGCCCGGCCCGAGACGACATCATCACTCATTCAGGTGTCCGATAATGACGCACGCACACTCGCCCGCGCGCGCGCATGCAGATCCATATCATTGATCTGCGCTCCCTCCGGCCGTCCTGTCTTTCACAAAGCAATAAGCGGCTAGAGGACATCGGAAGTTTCATGTATGTCTCAATTAGGACAAGTGCACACACTCGGCTTTAAACCCTCCCTTGAAGCCCTAATCCAGGCGTGAAACCCTAATTTGAAACAATAATGGTGGGTATGGTGGGTTGAACCCTTTAACCCTGACTTGATATCATATTGTACATTGAAACCCTAACCCTGCCTTTGAAACACTGATTTGAAACGTAAACTCCTGGTTTGAAACTGTCATTTGACTTGAAACCCCATCCGTGGCTTGCTTGAAACCCTAACTCTGGTTTTAAAACCTACTTTCAAGGCCGATCTTTGCACCGTAAACCTGTTTTGAAACCGGAATTTCAAACTAACTCTAACCCTGGGCCTAATTTGAAAAACTAACCCTGGTTTGAAATCATAATGTTGACTAAAAACCCTTCTTTTGAAACTTTAAAACCTACAGGCGTGAAACCGTAATCTGGAACACTTAAACCTGGGATTAAAATTTACTTCCTCACCTTAATTTTTAACCATATCTCTGATTTAAACACGAATTTCAGACACCCACCAAGGTTTGAAACCCCAATTTCTAACCCTAACCCTGACTTCAAACCTTAAAAAACAACTAAAAACTCTAATTTTAAACCTTGAAATCGGTTTAAAACTCATTCTTAAACCCTCGTAAGCCCCATCTCTGGCTTGAAACCCTATTTTGAAAAACTAACTCGACTTTAAATTCTACTTCCAAAACTTGAAGTCGAACCCCGAGTTTGAAACCCTAACCCCGCCTATTTCAGACACCCACCAAGGTTTGAAACCCCAATTTCAAACCCTAACCCTGACTTCAAACCTTAAAAAAACAACTAAAAACTCTAATTTCAAACCTTGAAATCAGTTTAAAACTCATTCCTAAACCCTCGTAAACCCCATCTCTGGCTTGAAACCCTATTTTGAAAAACTAACTCGACTTTAAATTCTACTTCCAAAACTTGAAGTTGAACCCCGACTTTCAAACCCTACTTTCTCTGGCTTGAATGTCTACTTGAAACCTTATCAATGGCATGTAACCCACCATTGATACCCAGGGCTTGGAACCCGAACATTGGCTCAAAACCCTACTTTCAAAACTTGAAACCAGGACCCCCATTTGAAACCAAAAGCTTGATTTAAAACCCTAATTGGAAATCCTCGCCCTAGTTTGAAACCCTAACCTCAATTCAAAACCCTAATCCTGATTTAAACACCGACCTTGAACCCTAGGATTCGCTTTAAACTCTCATTCGAAGCCCTAATTCTTGTTTAAAGCCTAACCGCGCACCATTTTCAACAAAAGACTTTTATTAGTCTTTCTTTATACTCTACATACGTTTTCTTACTACTCGTACGTAGTATGTTAGCGCAGTATATTTGTGCGGTACGTTTGCGTCCCCCGCCTTGAGGCAAGCTCATCCCAGTGGCCAAGTAAAGATTGATGTTGCTCATCTTCGGGAATGGCCTCATAAAAAGGGAAAGCGCCGCAGCGGACAGGGGCAGGCTGGTTCTGCCTCTCAGCCACCTCGTCTTTTCTCACTGTTCATTCATGCCTCCCGCTTGCCGCGGTGAAATACGCTACGCTGTGGCCATATGCCACGTGTCGCGATACACCACGTCGTCGCGATACGGCACGCTGTCGCTCTATGCTATGCCATCGCGATAAGTTACGTCGTTTCTATACACCCCGTCATCGCTATACGCTATAAGCCACATCATCGCTATACACGATGTCACTGTACACAATGTTGTCGCTATATGCCCCATCGTTGCCATGCTATTTGCCACGTCATCGTTATACTCCGCATCGTCTCTATACGCCGCATCGTTGCTACCGTGACAGGTTCCAAGGTGAGCGCTGATCTCATACCGTCTGACCCCCCCCGTTCGAGTCGCGACCACGCTCGATGCATTTCTCCGTCCAGCCGCGGAGCTAATTGCTTGCC